CACTTTTATGTAGAACACAGACCTACGACAACAATCCTTTTCCCCTCATACCATAGTAGACTGGAATAACCTGCCTCCAGATATAACCTCCATTACCTCTTCTGACTGCTTTAAACTGTCCCTAAACAAAAAGCAATTCTAACTCCCATGCTTTATAAATATTCCCTTTCACTATCTTTTATCCTTTCTTCTCTTGGCCTAGCACCCAATATCACATGACATGATCTTCAAATAGATGAAGGTGGTCATTACTATGTAGATACATTACTATGTAGATGTAGATAGAAAACTTAACTTTTGGAATACACTTGCAAATGGTGATACGTCACTTGTGTGGTAACTGGTATTCATCGTTAGGCTATGTAGCTTTATATATATTGTGTTACTGTCAGTTATAAATGAAATTGAAGCGGTTACATGTAGATTGTGTACAAAAAATACCATTGATATTGTTTACCATTTACTTATTGAGTGTCCAGTGTTGTACCTTACACGCGGCGATGCTTTCCTTGATAAGGTTGTAAATCAGTGTAGTAAATGTCAAAAATTATGTTAAGTTTTCAATTATTGAGGACAATTACCAAACGGATTTAAAGTCGTGCGCGCGTCCAATTGGCTGATGACGAGTGGGAGAGTTTGATGCTGGTTGTTGCGGACGGAGTTGAGTTGCTGCTCTCCGACATGAACTCAAGACTTTAAACTGCAAGTGAATTTGACCTGATATGATTTAAACTAAATATTCAGAACATTTTTTGAATCGGAAACTGTAATTATCATTTGTATTGTTTGGTGTTATTTTGAAATTTCTACTGTATCCAGAGGAAACGAAGAATCTGTCTGTCTGTCTGTTCTAGTGATAAATGTCGAAGCGAGACAAACTTACCAGTTTCAAACGTACTGAACATCATTCGAGGTAGAGTCTTTCTTCTGTGTTTTCTATTTTTCTCAACGGCCTCAATATTTTGTTTGTCTTTGCATCCTTTAGATATAGCCATTTTCGCTAACATATTGGGTATTTCTCAAAATGCCGTCCTGACACCAGGGAGTGACGTCATGACGACGCCCTGCGACGTCGAATAATTTCCCGCTGTTTTCAGAGCAGCATACCTTTTGGCGCCTTATTTAGTAGGAGGAATGTTGAATGAACTACATTTAAAACTCAGATGTTATTTCAATCATTAAAAAAAATAACAATTTATATGCATAGGCATACCAACAGTTGAAATATAAGCAACTAACATGATCTGCCCAGCTAATTAAAGCTGTCATTTTCGTGTACCTCAATGCTTTTTGAGCATCTACATGTCGTTGTAGCTCGAAATAACTAATGGCTTCTACTTTCTATGAGGTAAACCAGACAGGAAACAACTTGTTTTTATGCTGTATAAATGCCACTTTGTGGATATAATTTAGGTCTAATTTCAATTTTGATTTAACATCTCTTAAGAAAAGTCCTGTTAAGATTTATTGTACAGTAATGCATCGGCATACAGATCAACACTTGCGTATTTAGCGCATAATAACTTGTCATTAATATAAAGAACATGATCATTAAAATGTGACCCTGTATGGTCTATGTGTAACACCCGTTACAATATGTTGATGTGTTGCTGGGATGTTACCAACATTACTGAAATTTTGTCTTTGGTCCAATGTTCGAATACCCGACTGGCCCTGCGTTTTTCCTTTCCTGATAGATGTATGGCATAGTATTTGCTTTTGTCTGTATTGGGTTAAACGTACTCGTAACAGCTTAGGTAGCATGAAGACGGTAGAAAGCGCGAGAAGAAAACTAAAAGAGAACGCCGAAGTGTCAACAACACCATCACGCGAACTCAGAATCAATAAAACCAGAGCAAAATATGACCATAGGAAAGATTTACATGGAGACCATTGCAAAAGTACAAACATAATAAGACCAGGTGTTTCGGGAGAGTAAGCGTCTTCGCAGTGCTTCATCGATTACACTCGCCATGTAAATCTAAGTCGAATCAAGGTAATGTCACATCCTCATATCTATGATTTAAGTAGCAACAGCAATACCACACAGCACTCTAATGAGCATTATATACAACATCGACCTTCAGATCACACAAAAAATGGCCTATTTCCCTGCGAGACACTGTCGGCAACCATAACACTTGTCCATAGTCTTTATCAACCTGCATTTTTGGAAACCTGTGTTGTAAGGTTGTCCGTTAGCAGTCGACATCTAGCACGGAAGTCATGATATTCGGAGCAAGCTCTTGAGTACCGAATCAACTGTGACATAAAAACATCGGCGGTTGGGGATGCATGCAGGGATGTTGTTGTCAAGAAAGTTGGGTTGAGATTCGGAAAGTCGAAATCGTCCCGCAAGAATCTTATACATGTATGCAAGTTTATGATTTTGTCTTCTTGTGTGTAATGTTTCAAGTTGTGTTTCAGTATACAAAATGTGATGAGATGTACCTCGTCTGAGGCAAGTAATTATACGCATTACTTTTAGTTGAACTGATTCTAGAAGATCTGATTCAGATTTGGTACAATTATCCCATACTCCATCAGAATATTCTAACCAGGCGCGTAGCTACCATGTAAGCCAATAAGCCCGGGCTTGCACATGATTTTGACAAGTATAGGTTTTCATGACGTTATTTTTTCTTGCTGATACTATAAAGTGGAGTTTAAGTTTTGAATATATAGTATACATATTTAATTCCTCAGATATGATACATTGTTAATAGTGAGTACAAAAATGTATGAAGTTTAGAAATGTCCATTGCATTAATGGACAGTTCCAGGCGGAACTAAACTGCTCGATTGAGTAAATTGAGAAACTCACGCCCGGCGCAAACGACTCCGAGTATGGCACAGTGGACACAGACAATCAATGGTTTTTTTTTATGAAAATATCAATTTAAGGCACCTTCGGCCCCTTTTGCCGGGGCACATTCGGCCACCCCGAATGTAACTGTTATTGTGCCAATTTACGTCACTATTGATAACGTCACCCAATTGACCACAAAAATAATATTTTTACGTCGCAAAAATTAATAAATTTTTTCTGTGTATTCACTGATTTGTTCTGGACTTATTTTCCAACAGAATTGAATGAAATTCCATACACTTATAAGTAAATTGTCTTCTCTATCCTTCATGCCAAACTTGCCCTGGTAGGGGCCAGATTTGCCTCAGGGCGGGGCTCGTCCGGCCCCCAACCCTCTCGACCTAAAAAGTCCAATAATTCCCAAAATATGGTCTTGTTTACGATTTGGTTATTAGTTTATGAAAGACAACACATTTCTTTTCTTAATGACATATATATAAATATGCATTTCATCAGTATAGTACATGCCTTCCATAACGTCTTGAAAAAAGAAAAGGGGCCGTGTTTGCCCAGGTCCCCCCTACACATGTGTTATACATGTGTAGGGGAGACCGGGGCAAGTCCGGCCCCTTTTTTAAAACTATATTATAGTTTACAACATATCATTATCTCAGACATCAGGACGTGTGAATGGCTCCTGAGACGTTTTAGAAAACAAAGTTTCCGAGACCCCCCTTACGGGAGAGGGAAGACCCACTCCCTTACCCCCCCCCTGCTCGCGCTACGCGCTTGGGGGGGGGGGAGGGGGCTGCCCTCGACAACCCCATGTCGGGGCTTACACATGGTAAAGGGGCTAGCTAGCGCCTGCTAACACAGGTCTTATATAAGAGATATATAATGTTTTAATGTATTCCTATCAACTGTAGTTTTTAAAATCCTAAGAATACTTAGTATAGAGTTAGCTTTTTGATACATATTTGAAATGTGATCTGACCATGTCCCTTTACTGTTAAATGTTAGACCTAAGTGATTACGGTGTTCATGTTGTGCAATTGGAGTATTACTAAATAAAAAGTGAGGGTGATTGTTAATGTGTCTACGGGTGAAGTTAATAGCTACAGTCTTATTCGGATTGAATAGGACACGCCATTGCTTTGACCATTCAGAGATTGATTCAAGATCATCATTAAGCATATTAGTAGGTGTTGCAAGGTCATTGTTAATATTTACTATAACATAGAGAGAGGTGTCATCTGCAAAGAGTTTTAAATGAGAGGTTACATTGTTAGTAATATTATTAATAAAAAAGAAAGAAGAAATAGGAAGAGACCATGCAACGGTGTATGCTTGGCAAGGGGATACCCGAACCTGGCTTGTAAATAGTTGTGTCGGCTTCGGCGGCGAAGACTTAGACAAAAGAAGGAAGAATGTAGCGGAACTAGACTGGGCCGAGCGTCGGCGACCAGATAGCTCAATTGGCAGAGCGTCCGTCTAGAGTTCGGAGGGTCCTGGGCGCATTTTTCTTCTCCTGTTACACAAACACAGACATTGTCAACCAGGAACTCAATCTTTTTCACATTATTGTCCTCGATATATCTCATTGTATTTTTCACAAAGCATGATCCAAAATAATTGACAACTATGAAAAGAAGGCTGTCAATAACAACAGAACTTAGGAGTTCTTTTTGTTTGGTTTAAGGAAAGTGAGAAAGGCGAAAAATGGCTAAATATTGCAATGGGGCCATCGAATCACTGTTGTTTGTTTCAATGTCCTTATTGCAGTCTACATGGACCTACATAAATCCCTCCCGATGAAGGGTTATAGCTGTTAGGCTGTAGAATTTATAAGAGTCTTTCGAATATTTGATCTTCTAATAGACCTACTCGTTTTCCCCAGGACTATTGAAAATTGGAATTTCCTACCAAATTCTCCAGCACAGTAGCAGACCTGAATTCTTTCATGTGTGCCCTTGCTAGTTTCAACTTACCCTGAATTATTTCCTGTTTTCATCTTATAGTGAAAAATACAACAAAAAAAGTTTTTAATGCCAACTCCCAGGATCAAATGCACTCAAACAATTTTTCTTTAACAATCAGAGTAATCTCCCATTGAACGAAATCTTTACTTAGTGACCTTAACATTTAAAGATCACGTGCGACAATCAACCAATCATCTGTCTTGTTAATACCGCCATCTTTTTCCATTCTGGAAAGTCGCATGGTCGTCTTGGATGAAACGGCAAAGGGAGCCTAATAAGCGATTATATCACTCTGTCTCAGACGTCATTTCAATATGTCTGAGGAGGGGGGTGGCAAAATAAGAAACAAGAAATTATCGAATCCACCGAAACCTTATGAAAAGCGGAAAGTAAGTCTGCAACGGAAATGTAATTTCATAAGTTTAAAATCTCAAATCAGAAATGACAATCAATCCAATCATATTCATTCAGGTCTATATGTCAGAAAGAACTTTCTTTCGTTATTGTGTGCCAGTTCATAAGTGTTTCTACATACATCTTTATATATGTCGCCGTAAATGTCGAATAAACTAAGTTGTCTGTATAGAATAATAAACGCATGTCGACTGAAAGCCTGGAAACAATCTCGAAATTGAAAAGTAGCGAAATAGGCATCCGAAATATCATATTCAACATGAACCAAACAACTCTGTCACCTCTTAATCAGTTTCAGAATTGACCAATGTCATATGTAATACAAATTTAACCACTAATGTCCAGCAACAAAGCTGCCGAAATAAAATAAAAAAAGTGCTGAAGTATCTGAACTCAATATATGCATGTGTGCGCGAAATAGAATAGAAAAAATGCCACTACAGTATAGTAACTTACTGCTGTAGGACAACAGACTGCGAATCATTTCACTAGTTCCTTTTCTTGGAGTACATGGTGTGATGACTTAACTGATTAGCGAGTACTATTTTGTTGATCAAATGGTTTCTGCTTTTGAGATTGAACAATGAACCAGTAGAGTAGCACATTTAGCTTTCGACCAAGCACCAATTAAAGTTGGATAGTTTGTCTTGCGTACTGTGTGCATATGTAAGTCCTGCAAAAAAGTACAATGTATTTGTAGCATGTATACAAAGCGATAGTCGGCCCTTATAAGAAAACTACCTTTCTGTTTTGGACCCACACAACACTAATTCAAATCAACTAACTAGAAATAAAATAAGAGCAGCAAAATATGTATGCAACAAATACAACAAAACAAGCTTATTACATGATGTACAAATTAGTCCCCCACCTCGTGTTTTTAGAAAAACATGCAGACTACAAACCTAACTTGTGTTTATCAACAACAAAAATGTATACATATGTGTCATGCCTGTAAGGCAAAGCATGGTGCATGTTGCTATTTGTATTTAATATGCCATGGTGTATTGCTATATTTCAGTCATTCCTAGGAAAAGTTACAGATACTGTCAAAGAACTAATATCTCCATCTTGGCTATCTGACTTGGTGAATAGTGTGAAAAAAACAAGTCCCCAGAAGGAAGATGAGCAGCCCGTACCTCCTACCCAGGAACCACAGTATATGGTGAGATTTTAATTTATTATTATTTCTTAACATCAATTCCTTATAGAAAATTTTGATGTTCTGTAGTTTGAATAATAAATTGAAGGGTAAGTTATAATACCGTTTCATTTAAGCATGTTAACACATCGTTATATTGACCACTCTCCATTTCTTTCTACATATTAATGTTGTATTTGCAACTTGGGCTATAAGGCCATTAGTGAAGAACATGTAATAAAACAAATGCCATTTCAGATAAGATTAAAAAAATGTTCAAATACGTTTAATGAAGACTGTAATTTGCTTTAAAATAATCACAAGGATAGATGAATAGCCAAAATTAAATATTGATAATTTGGTGTTTTCGTCTCTATTATATTGTTTCTAACGTGATCAATAAATTTGTAAACTTTTAATTTTAAAGAGTTATTTTTCTAACTCTTAAATCTGCAAACATCTTAAGGAACTTATATTGAATTTGTTTTAGCAAAAATCCAGTAAAGTTAGATTTTGACAGTTGTATACTTCAGAGCTTGCTGATTGCTTAGTTTGATGTACAGAATTCCAGTGTTTGTCACAAGGATTTTTTGCTCAGTTTTACAGCTGAATACAGTCTATTTCCCCTAGCTAAAAAGTGCTTAATTTTTTCAAAAATGACAAATAATGTGCAATCTATTTCAAATTTCAAATACAATAATGCGATGTTTTCCGAATAACTAAAGGAACATGCTGTTGTAAAATTTAGTTTTAAATTTAGTCTGGGATTGAACAATTTTAAGTAAATTCTTTTGTTTCTTCATTTACAATTAAATATATCTTATACTTTAAATGTTTTTTCCAGAGTTCTCTGCAGTCTCACCAACATCATAATAGGAATCAAGTGAGAGATGGTTCTCAATTTTCTCCTCCAAAGTTTGTACCATTGACAAGAAATGGTCTAGCCAACCTTTCCCCCAGGTCTTCTTTACCTCTGATACCCTCCTTGCCACCTCAGCAGCCGCCCCTACAGCAATCACAACCACCACTGACGTTCTGTAACCAGAGCAGTGATGTTGGAGAAATCTCAAGAAAAAGCCACGCACAACCCAGCATATTTTTATCAGGTATACATAATGTCCAATCTTGACCAAATGTTCTAAATATCTAACACTTGCTTTCACAAAGGTTCTTACCCTTGAAAATCTTACCCTTGAAAATGTTCTCTCAAAATCAAACTTGGGTGAAACATTTCTGTAGTATGCTCGAGAAAATACCCCTTTGCTGGAAGCAGTGAATGATTATAAAAAAAGGGTCATGAAAATATGACAGGGATATAACAATTTAAGAATGTTACAAATGGAATATTATAAAATGTTCAGTTTTCTATTAAAAATAAAACCCATACCTAGCGGAAATTTTATGAGAAATAATAAAAATGAAATAAACAAAATATTATCAATAACAAAGTTTTGAATGTCGGCGGAACTGAACCAGGATTTGAACCCCTGCCCTGACTTAAGATTGCTATACTATCGCTCTAACCGACTGAGCTGCCTGGTCAACAGAAGTGTACTGGCAGGCTCAACTGTGTTACAGTTAGATCCAAAAGGAAGTTAAAGGGAGATTAATTACTGTTTATTGGGAATACAGTGGGAAGTAATAACTAATTGTTTATATTGATGTTTTCAAAATACATAATTGCCAATATATTATTTGTCTTCACCAGATTCAAAATCCGTTGATGGGAACAGGAACTTTCTCAGTAACTGTACGGTTGGTAGGGGTCGATTGGACAATGAAGGTTTTGCGGGATCAAGCGATGCATCTGCCAGACCAGGACCAAGCAACACCGAGGTGAACCCAGCAGACATATCAACTGTCTGTAATCACAATGAGAGCATGGAAGGAGACGAGCAGGAAGAAAGTCTACCAGTATCTGTAAATCGTAAGTTGTGGGAGAAATTTGTGTCCATATAGCCTGATGTTTTCCTATGAAGTATGTATATGAAAATACTGCTGAACTAGTTCAAATAGTTTTTATACGCCCGTCGAAGACGGGGACGTATTATGTTATCACGTGAGTGGGCGGGCAAACGAAGTCCGCTCGATATCTCGAGTAATTATTAACGGATTAACTTCAAACTTCAAAACAAGGATAATTACCATGAAACCTCGGACAAGTCCAATAACCGCCATTATCCGACCATAATTTCTGGAGTTATGCCCCTTTACTTGCTGAAACAGTGTCCGCTCGATATCTCGAGTAATTATTAGCGGATTAACTTCAAACTTCAAAACAAGGATAATTACCATGAAACCTCAATCTAGTTCGATATCCGCCATTATCCGACCATAATTTGTGGAGTTATGCCCCTTTATGGACTTGCCGAAACAAAGTCCGCTCGATATCTCGCGTAATTATTAACGGATTAACTTCAAATTTCACAACAAGGTTAATAACCATGAAAGCTGGGACAAGTTCGATACCCGCCATTATCCGACCATAATTTCTTGAGTTATGCCCCTTTACTTCCTGAAACAGTGTCCGCTCGATATCTCGAGTAATTATTAGCGGATTAACTTCAAACTGCACAACAAGGTTAATTCCCATGAACCCTCGGACAAGTTCGATACCCGCCATTATCCGACCATAATTTCTGGAGTTATGCCCCTTTAAGGACTTGCCGTAACAGTGTCCGCTCGATATCTCGAGTAATTATTAGCGGATTAACTTCAAACTTCCCAACAAGGTTAATTACCATGAAACCGCGGACAAGTTTGATAACAGCCATTATCCGACCGTAATTACTGGAGTTATTACCCTTGGTTTCATTAATGTGATGCATGCGTTCCATGATGTTGTATTGCACTCATTGATCTACCAGTTATGTTGAATGTTTTCTCTTTTAATATCAATTACTCACAAATACTTCATATATGTCAATCATACAAACAACTGCTCATTCAATGTGTGACGGGCCTATTATATACCGCTCGCGGTAACCTTGTTAAGTATGATATATTTTTATATCCTGCTGGAAGTGGTGTGGAGCATATAGGTGTTACATGTAGGTACATATACTGTCTCGATGTCAGCACAGATGCATAAGGGTAAAGCAAATTCTGCAAGAAAAAGACTTGTTCATGCATGTTTAGGACCGGGGTTATCATCTTTCTACAAATAAGATTATCAATTCATTAATAGCGAAAAATCAAAAAGCCAATGAGAGCAAACCTGTGTTCTTATATGTATACCCAAGTGTCTGTTAGCAAATCACTACTACATTTTATAGAATCTTTAATGCTGAAGTAAAATGGGTTGCCAAAAAAGATCTCCAAAAGCTTCTGTGTTGCTAAACATTAAAAGAAGTGTTGCCATTTGATGTCCTGGCAATCTTTACTGTGAGGTCTGAATTGGAATGAAAATCACATACCAGTATATGAAACATTGAAATTAATAAGATTATTACTAAAATAGCTTTTGTTTAACTAGAAGTAGCTGTCATGCATATTCCGGAATGGAGCATTGGGCCAAGCTTATTTTCCATTTACAATTGATTATACTGGATAGGAATTTGTTTGTTTTAGGTTTGAATAAATCGACAACTTGGACTGAAGGTTTCAATGCAAGAAAACCGAGATCATCAAGTCGCAACAAGCCTGGATTTGACATATCCTTGTTTGGGGTACCGCTACATGTACGTTTTTCCTGATACTTAATCAAAAAGTCTCTTTGCTGTTGAACTAAATATTATGAAATTGTAATGAATAATATTTTTCTGCAAACAAAATTCTTGAGAAAATAGTCCAATTTCTTGAGTACTACAATAATGTTTCTTCAAGAAAAATTTAATGGTTGAAACGAAACCTCTGCAGTGTATGGTGACAATTTGTTTTTGTTTTTTGTAGAATAATTCACTGTTGGGGGACAGTTCTCACGAGTCCTCGTTTTATCCTGGCAAAACAACATACGGGGGAGCGTCAGCGCAGAGAAAACCCAGACTAAATGTTACAGGACCTTATCAGGTATTGTACATATTTGTATCATCTTTATACTTTTCCTAGCACTTAAATCAATATCTTTTCTAGGTTATATATTTTGAAATAGGTTGACTCACATTGTTGAATTGAAAAACATGGTATAATTTTTATTTTTCTTCAGTTCAAAAGAATCATTTTTTTTGTATGATTGAAAGTAAATTGTCTTGATAGGAATTCAGAACCTTTTTCAAGTGATAGGAATTCGGGATAATGTCGTGGAATTTGAAATAATTTAAAACCCATATAGATTAAACCCATTTATGGTTTCCAGCTTTAATTATTAACACAGCATGATCAGCAAAACTCAGCCGAAGCGGCCTTCGTTAATTATTTTTACTAACATTTTCTCGCCCTCATTATATATTCCACCATAATGCACGCACATATGTTGATTATTTCTTAAATAAACAGAAAGTGTCTGTCTGTGGACTAGTATTGACTGTTAATATGAAATTGTACTGCATTACTGTGATAGGTATCCACTACAGTAGGCATTTTCTTTATATTTTAGGCATCTTTTCCAATGCGTCAGAAAATGAAGGTAAAGCCAGTCAATACATCTACAAGTGCTGCAACCAGCTCTACAGCTCAAAAGATCCTGGAAACACTTGAAAAGATGTCAACTCCATTATCAGTGAGTGCTTTAATATGTATTAGAGTCACTGCTTTTGTTGTTGGAGACTTCTCCAAAAAGTGTGAAATGAAAGGCACTGTTCGGAAGTATCGATATCGGATCATGCGAAATGTATTTCGACTGTCAGTGTGATATATCAACCACCAAAAGATTACTTCCAATGATTAATTATTGAATAATATCCATTTTAAATATAAAAGGGCACTGCAGCATTGTTTCTAGTACAGCAATGTTCAGGATTTAAGAATTGAAAAAGTACATGAGGGTAGATGACTTATTCATCAATGCAAGGAACCCTGAAATTGTGATAAGTTTTGCTGATTATGCTGTGTTAAATTATTTACAGGAGGCCAGGAAAATACCTAATGATGACACAGTATTGCGTCTGAATTCTTCATTTAATGTAAGTATCTTAGTAAACATCAGGGTGGTGATATTCCTTTGTTTTTAACTAAAAAGCATATGACCGAAGTTAATTTGACAATGAAGAGAAATTAAGTGAATAAATCAGTTTATTTTTTTGCCCGCTTTGTGTTGAGAAAACTTTATTTCATACACATTTCATCGGTTTCAGCCCACAAATTACAAACCAGCACGGCACAGCATTGGCTCCTATCTTAACACACGGCGAGAATTGCAGGTGAAGTATTAACTTTTGGTGAAGCATTCAAAAGAAATGTTTATATCAGTAGTAGGGCTGCAACGGTTAGAAAAAATGCCACGCAGATAACCGTGTGTGCTTATCTGAACAGAAACCGGGTAACCATGTTTTTTTGCATTGAAATGCGGCCACCGATGTCTCTTTTATATTGATAAAAATATGATTACTTAATTATGTCTATCCTTCGCATGAAGGGAGACATATTATTAGTACATGTACTGGTTCTTCTAATCGCAACTTGTCCGGGCCATAACTTTAAAACCGTCAAGTTTCTTGATGAAACTTTAGGTATGCATGCATCACCCACAGAAGGTGTGTAGTGCACTGGAATTAGGTCTCGTGCTTCACTATATACAGAGTTATGACCCTTTGTTTAATTTTAAAACCAAAGTTTGTCCGGAGCATAAGTTCCATGTTATTTCACCTACGTTGACCAAATTTGCTATAGTTTTAATGTTTCTTGGGAAGTAAGAGAGTGGTATTCTAAATTCGGGTCTCATGCCTCACTTTATGAAGAGATATGGCCCATTGTTAATTTTTTATACCGAAGTTTGTCTATTGGTTAATAAGGGGAGACATATGTTTTTGTTCACTGAACAAAAACAAAATTCTAGTTCATTAAATGCATAAACAAAGATAACTCACTACTTATGTCTTGTGAGTACAGTTGTAAAACGGTGCAAATTCTCAGAACCGTTATGAATTGGTTACATATCGCGAGCCTCCCGAGAGGAGAATTTTCATAGTCTCACTTCACTCTTATCTGTTGTCAACTCTATGCGCACTTATTTCTGCGCATCACTTCCAGGTGGAACACTGACGATAACTGCTAGTGAATGATGAGTTACATTGTTCAACAGAATATCAGTCGATATTAGGTTTACATTCAAAGTTTATTGTTTACATGCACCCAATAGTAAAGAAAGCATACTGATCATGAGTGTTTTCGAGGTCTGTCAATTAGCAGTCAGGATTGACATTCTGCCTGGGAAGTCAATAAATACTGACCTACATTTTAGAATGGTTTTCAGGTACATGGATTTGCTAACCGGATAGTACTCGTGACTGACCGGAACCGGGTACTCGGTTACCCGTTCCAGCCCTAATCAGTAGGCATTGTAGATTATAGAGAATGTATTTCATTAAATTCTTGGTTATTGCATGTGAAAGAGGATTTAGTTTGTGTTTTGAGACTGAGTTTAGGTTATCATTTGTAAAACTTTGTTGAATTTATTATTTGTGTGACTTGTTTAAGTGTACAAGTTTTAAACATGGTTGTAGAAGTCCCAGAGTGGTCCACCAACAGGAAAGGTGAGCACGCCTGTACCAGCCTCCATCAGTCGCAACTACCAGCGGGTCACTGTCCCTCAGACACAGCCAGGCAAGGTAACCACTTAATCTTGATTAAGTTAGATAAAATACCTTGATCAAGCCAGTTATCTTGACTTTATCAAGCTACATTCATTACAGTAAACCTTGTATAACTGCTATTAAATCTTTTTCAAGCATAATTTTGTTTGTGAGATAGAAATAAAAAAAGAAGACATCATATGACCTTGAAGATACATAATAATGTAATTCTTATCATTTGGAGAAAAAGATGTTGTTTTTCATTAGAAATATAATTAGAAAACAAAATTGCTTTTTCATTTGTTACAATTTCATCAAATGAAATATCATTTTCATTTTTTTATTTTCAGAATTTTCTAAATGAAAAGACATCCATGTCAACAATGTAAGTCTGTACAAAAGTTTTTATATGCCCATCAAAATTCTAGACGAGGGAAGAATTTGTCTGTCCATTTTAGTCTTTTGTTTAAATATCATTCGATTTTGATGAAACCTCATTGGCTTATAGCACTCTTGATTTGTCAACTGTTTCTGTAACTTAATCAAATAGGACCAGATTCTAAGGAACTTACTCTCATTATCCATATTGTTCCAAGAAAAAAACTTTTCCAAGTTTATCAAACTCTGCATACGGCTTTCGGCAGGCATTTACTGTTTTGCCAATGTATTCCTTGTTTTGTTATATTATGACAGTATATTTACAATTTTTAGGCAAAATGTTTACATGAATAGAAGTGTTAATTTCTTAATCAGAAAATTGACAATTCTTTTGGTTATTTCCAATCTTTAAGTGTCATGTTAGGGGACATTGGCTACATAGTTGCAATCTTGTATTTGTAATGAACTTGTAGTCATCAGACTTAAATGCTTTTGTAGCCAACAAATCCCACAGGAAAAAGAGAAGATGCCTAGTTCTGCTTCAGGAGGTGGAAAACTGAAGAGTAAGAAATTTCAACAACACTTCCCAGGCCGAAAGTCAGCTGAGGATGATGATGAAGAGGTATAGTCAGAAGTGTTCCTTTAATAACAGAGTGACAGAGTTGACTTTTCCATTCATGAGTGCCTTTCTTTAGCTCATTTGAATCAAACAAAAGTTTTGCGTGTAAACCAGTCACAAACACTTTAAACATTTTTACCTAAGTTTGTGTTACCAATTAACTGATAGGAACAGTGGAATGCCCTGCAATATTTCACCTTGTTATACATATCCATCCCCTAAAGTAAAAGTTCACTGTTGCAAGGAATTAGAAACAATATCATTCAAAAGTTATAAATGTATTGTTTATTTGTTTGATAAGTATGTACAAAAAGCTTTATCAGTAACACTTAATTCCAGGTGGAGATGTCAAATTTACGTACAGATTTCACACTGCCTGTGGTGGGCATCCCTCAGTTTGATTTTGGAACATCACAGTCTACCAAGCCTGTTGAGGGGAAGGGAAATAAGCCAAACTCCAAGTATACATTTGCAACCCCCATACAGAAGACGCCCACAAAACAGGCAGACCAGGTCTCGCCCACAAAAATCGTAAGATATTCATCATCTTTGGATTTCTTAAAAGTCATGACAATAGTTTTAATGTTGACAGTGAATAATGTAAAACAAAAAAATATAACAAGCCTTTACATATCATTGATCATGATTGGCATGCAGAATTGGACCGTGAAATGAACATTTCTACATGCATGCAGTAAACAATAGTTAAATACTTCACATTTTTCACATTTCAGAAAATTTCATTGTATAGGTCCTATAAACAGAAATTGGACTACAGGCGTTACAGTATACCAAAAATAGAACTAGATGATCTCATTCCAGAAATGCCTTAAATACTCAGGTGTTCAGATTGATTGAATTGTAGAAAGTTTCCTATATATTTTTGTTGTACAGGACTTCACCTTCAGTTCACCGCTAAGTATGGACATTGAGAATGGTGTGAAGCCCAAGTCTGTCACATTTGACATAGAGCCTGTGAAAGTCCAAGAGTCGCCAGCTGCCTTCTCGCCACCTGCCTTCAAATTTGGAAGTCCATTGGGTTTAAAGTCTTCTTCAAATCTTGGAGCATCACCAGTACTTCCCAAATCCTCAGGTACAAACAATCCACAATAAGACAGTACACTAGAAATTTGTAATAACTAAGTTTTTGATAGTGTGTTTTTATAAAACTATTAGCGACTACAAAAATACTTTGAGGGGGGAGGCTAAGTTTATGAGAATCAAGACCAATGAGTGGTCATTTATTCTTTTATGTATAAGAAATATTCTCTGGTATTTCAAATGTAATCTGTCTTGAGTATTTTTACTGGGATAGTTAATGTGTGACTAACCCAGAGTTTATGTTTGTATAACAGCCAAGGGAAATAACTTATATGTTGAGGTTATCTCGATTTCATAAACTCTTTATATAACTTCTTATTTTTGTGCTCGAACCATTTTATGGGAAGGAGTTTCTTTAAGTGAAATTTTCATTCCAGGAGGGATGGCACCTGCTACAGAACTGAAGTCTGGTAGTGTGATGGATGTTCTTGGTAAGTCAGGTGGAAGTGGCTTCAGTTTCAACACAGGATCCAGCACCAACAAGATTAACAGTGAAACATCAAGTATGGGTGGCTTCAAACCTGCATCTGAACTGAAGCAAGGCAGTGTTATGGATGTTCTAGGAGGGACTCCCAAGACAAGTTCATCATCATTTGGTTCCGGCTTCCAACCTGCAAAGGACCTTAAAAAAGGCAGTGTGATGGATGTTCTAGGCAAGAGTAAGTGCTTTCAGAGGAAATATTGTGCACTCAGCAAGAGAAGGTGTTTTGTGCTAACATAGTGTATATCGGATCTGTTAACATAAAAAAACTGTATACTTCACTTTTTTTCTTTTATACAAGTGTCATAATTGCAGACATAAAATTAACATCATATTTGATAGTCTTGTTAATATCGCATTAAGTTCTAGCACTGTACCATAGTTTGTGTTTTGATTAACAAACATCCATTGCTTAGCAGTTGGCATCTGGATGACCAAAGATCAACTCTATTGTAGTTTTTGTTAAGATTACAATAACCATTAACAAAAGTTCAATACAGTAGTGTGAGTCTAGATAAACAAACATCCACTGTACAGCAGTGGAGTCCTGAATGACAAAGATACGTAAGGTAGTTTGTGTTCAGATTAACCAAAGATACACTGTCACACTATAAGGTAGTTTCTGACTGAAATTAACGAGGATTTACTGTACTGAGAAGTCGCTGTTATTCTCAAGACATAACATTTTGCCATGTTGGCAGGAAAAGTTTTTAGCGTGAAAGTAATCAACTAAGGAAAGCATAACCATGATAATTAAACTGCTTTGTTATGATCACAATTAGTGGGTTCCCTAATAAAAATTCACCAAAAAAAATATTTTCAGTTTTGTACATAATTAAGGAAAGGCAAGCTAATCAATAATAAATTGTTGTGTTTTTACTGTTTTAGGTTCACAAGAGGACAGCAAACCCGGTCTGTCTACTATGTTCAAAGTAGCAGAAGGCAGCTGGGAATGTGACGTATGTTGTATCAACAATAAAGCTGATGTCTCTAAGTGTGCAGCTTGTGGCGCCAAAAAGCCAGGTGGCTCAGGTACGATGGCTGTTTATGTATGACATGTTTTAAGTATTGGTATTATTCATTAAGGTGAAATTACATCGCCAGAGTTGAACTATGAGAAGTTTCTCGTGACACAACCAATAAGTGTTTCTATGACTACTACTGTACTATGTCACCTTCATCAGACAAATGACCCGTGAAGAGATGATGAGGCTCATAGACTCACGCACATCTATGACCAAGTATTAAACAAGGTGTAGCTGAATCGAGTTATTTTGGTACATATACTGAACAAAAAAAGAAATGCATAATTAAATTAAGCAATCAATAGCCTATGATATTTTGGGAAATTTGTACAAAATTTTATATCAGTATGAAGGGACAAGTCTACTATTTACAATACTGTAGAAGAAAAGTCTGTGTGACGTCACTCGTGTCATCAGTAGTTACTCAAAGTGCCTGCCTTGGACGCAGACGATCGGAAACTAACCCAGTAGCACGGAAACGTACAGAGACGGTTAATTGTACACGGGCCAACACCAAACTGCCGTGCGACAGCAGTTTGGCTATGACCATCCATCAACATCGCAATTGCTCTACCCCTCTGAATTTGCGTTAAGAGTGGCATCTCAGTCAATGGCGAAATCAAAATGCCAACGAGGAAAATTAATGTTGCTGAACTTAGAGTATCCGTTGAGATTATTTGTTTGAAAAACTCCGGCTTGGCTTGATCACCCCGCGTGATTTGGACTATAGAAGCTCACAAAGTCACACAATCACATCGTCACGCTTGGGCTGATTTTAGGGTAGATTGTTGAGAAGGGAAATCGTTCTTGATGTAATACCTGACCAAATATTCCATTATTTCCTTACAGCTAAAGTGTACTGCAGTGGGGGGAACTTTGTGCGTTTCTTTTTTTGTTCAGTATATATAGCAACTATTGTACATACGATTACAATGTAGCCGAATCGACATTAATTTGTGGACAACTCGTACACATTTTACTCCTTTGTGTGCATACGCTTCACGGGTCATTTATCTGATGAAGGTGACAGAGTACATACCGTACTAGTCATCAAAACGTCACATCGAAACACTTATTGGTTGTGTAACAAGAAACTTTTCATAATCCATGCTTACCAACCTGAAGAAAATGTTTAGAGAGTTGAACTGTTTGGCCCAATATACCTTGATAACTCTTGTTGAGCAGCTAAGAAAAACAATTAACAGAATCTCATTAGAAAATTAATTGATGGAAAATTTGTATCAACACTTACCCAGTTTCAATGATGTTGGTAGTCAAATTAATATAATGTGTAATAAAAATAAATAATTATGATATTTGATGTTCAGGTAATGCCTCAGTACCATCGAGTCAGCCTAGCCTGTCCTCCATGTTTAAAGTGGCAGAGGGATCTTGGACTTGTGACGCCTGTATGGTACAAAATAAATCGGCTGATACAAAGTGTGTTGCTTGTCAGACAAAGAAACCTGGAGCCTCAGGTAAGATGTTATATGAATTTTAATTACGCCAGTATCCTAAAAAATGGCATTTCAAAATAAAGAATACAATTAGATTTGTATTAGTTTTTAGTGTTTTTGAAATCAATGTGGTTTTGATAATGTCCATTTTCATTAAGATAATATGGCAGGCATTCAATGACTTTGTGACAGAAATTAAAATGATTTATTTTGGCAGGGGGGAGGAGGGGAATCCAATGCAATAATTGTGTTGTAACTTTTACTATTGCTATATGCACAATCATCTCAATATTCATAATCTGAGATTGAAGGGTCAGCTAAGATTCATGTTTTTAGCAGAAATTATCATTTTTTTTTTAGAAAATGTACTAGGCTAGGGATTTATCATTTTAACCATTTTCAATGTAGGCACCCCGGCATCCTCGAGTCAGCCTAGCCTGTCCTCCATGTTTAAAGTGGCAGAGGGATCTTGGACTTGTGACGCCTGTATGGTACAGAATAAATCTGCTGATACAAAGTGTGCCGCTTGTCAGACAAAGAAACCTGGAGCTACAGGTAAGATGTTATAGGAGTTATTGCAATACCCTATAAAATGACACTGCAAAATAAAACACTCTCGATATAATCTACCTTTAGCTGTGATGATGATCTGTTGTACCCACCGTAATAATATTGCTAGACAATTTAAGTTTGGTCCACCAGCTAGCTTTTGTGACTGTATGGTAAATGGCAAAATTGATGTATTGAAGTTAACATACATCAGAGTAGAAACAACATGATAAGGACTGTGCACTTGGGTCCCTTTACTATCCTTAACTGTACATGTATTTAGTATTCTTGAATTCAAAGTGGTCTTTACTTAATTTTTATACGCTCGTCAAATATGACGGGAGTATTATGGTATGGGTTTGGCCGGCCGGCATAAACTTTTGTTTGTCCAGCAATCTACTCCTACATTTTTCGACCCATCTCTTTGAAACTTGTTATACATTATAATTATGATATGAAGTTGTGTCTCCCTTAAAAGAATTTTGATTCGACGATTTTTGCAAAAGTTATTGCCCTTTGTTCATTTCAGTATTTGATTTTTTTATCCAGAGATTTTCTCCTACATTTTTTATAGCATGTCAGCTAACATCTGTTAGAATGATGCAGATCTTACTTCAATGTAAGAAAGTATATAACACTATGGCATTCGATGGGCGTATATTGTTCCACCCCGCGGTACTCTTGTTCATTTAGACCGTCCTACAGCTTGTATCAATGACTATGAGACAAAAAATAGAATTATAACATTTCATCAGGCAAGGGATACAAATTTGATAGTAATAAAGAATGAAATGTATTATGGCCGTATCATTTTAACTGTTTGCATTCTAGGCACCCCAGCACCATCCAGTCAGCCAAGCCTGTCCTCTGTGTTTAAAGTGGCAGAGGGATCTTGGACTTGTGACGCCTGTATGATACAGAATAAATCTGCCGATACAAAGTGTGCCGCTTGTCAGACAAAAAAACCTGGCGCTGCAGGTAAGGTTATCTATCAAAGACTGAACTGTTGGCAGGAGGATGTGAGCCTGTGCCTCAATAGTCGTACAGAATACATTCAAGAAGGTTACTGTTCTAGATATGCTAAGCAATTGGATTTTGTCCTTTGGGTGCTAACTCTAACATGACAAATCCTAGTGGTCCTGAATTATTTCAAGGTGTTTGTTTATAAGCATGATTTTACCCTCTCTGAGTAGACGAGGTATATAGTAAATGCTTGGGCTATGCATCCTTCCGTAGTGAAAAAAACGTGTGTACAAAATATCTCACAAATCCTTCAGCTGATTTACTTCAGTGTTTTGCAATGCAGTACGATAATGTCAAGTTTTACACATGATTAGATTTTGGTCATTATTGGTCAAAGATAAAGGTTCAAATTAAAGGTCATACTTGACCACTTTAGAGGAAGAGGAAAGGTTTATCTATGTGAACCCTCATTTAGTTACTTTATTTTTATTCTCATTTGGCATATTTCATTTCTCACTTAAGTGCATTTGATTAGATATCGAAATGCATTATACTAGTTTTGCTTTCAGGATGTCAAGGTCATTATTACCATTTATAGGAAATCTTAAAATATTTAACCAGACGAGACATGTCATGAGATTTGTATCATTGGCATTATTTGCAATGCTTTGGTATAGTAGTTTTACATTATTATTGGTTTTTCCATTACCTGTAGTATTGGCACCCTCGAGTCAGCCTAGCCTGTCCTCCATGTTTAAAGTGGCAGAGGGATCTTGGACTTGTGACGCCTGTATGGTACAGAATAAATCTGCCGATACAAAGTGTGCCGCTTGTCAGACAAAGAAACCTGGAGCTACAGGTAAGACCATAAAGTAAAATCCCTTGTACATGATACAAATTCTATTCAAAAGGATCTTTTTGTAATGTATTAATATTTTGTGAAGAGGGATAAAGAAAAAAATTATAAAAATATTTTTGTGATATTGTTTTTCAGGTTCTGCTAATTCTCCTATAAAGGACAGTTTAGTTTCCAAATTCAAGAGACCCACAGGAAACTGGGAATGTGATACCTGCCTAGTTCCAAATAATGCAACAGCTACCAAATGTATAGCATGTGAGACACCTAGGCCAGGGCTTCAACCCTCAAGTAAGTTATGCTGGACATAGGCCTGAGATTTAACCCTTCAGGTGAAATACCTAGACATGGGCTTCACGCCCTAACTCAGGTGTCATCAACTTACCCTTGGTTTGAACACTCAAGTATGTCACCTCAGATTTATCTACACTATTATTACATTATCATTGGTACACTCCATTTCCCCATAACTATCAAGTGTGTTGTATAAGACGGCAAGGCATGGGTTTCTGATGTCCAGTAGGTCATGTCAGATATCTATCTAGTCCGATGCTACATTGCAGAAGTTGGTCAGTTTCAGAAACTTAGGCCTGAGTTTCATTCCGCAAATAACTCTTGAAGTGAAAAATTGCATTATGAAAGCATGTATATCCGTCTATATGATCTTGATAATATCTGAAAACTGTCTTTAGATCAGAATCACTACTGAAGTGTTAAAGCCATCTTAAAACGTTAAATAGCTGCAAGGTGCATTTGAAACTCCTGTGATCTACTAAGGCAAAGTTTCATGGCTGCTGTAAGTGGCAACTGGTAGCACTTGTTAGTGGCCAATAATTTGCCCCATAAATAATTTTGCATGACCTTAGCTCTCTCTCGATGCAAAGCCGAAAGCAAACAAAAACATTTGAATGTTCCTAAATATTACTATACTATTTATTGACTTCAATTATCTTTGTATTTCAACAAGTTTGATATTTTTACCCATTCTCATATTTAAATAAAACTAAAAAATTGTATATGGTACTTTTGCATTATCATTGGATTTGTATTGTGCTGTTATTCATAATCTTCATATATTTTTATTTTTTTCAGGTTCTTTTGGATTGAAATTTGGTGGTGTTTCTGTCAAAAACACAACTAGTTTGGTTGGACAAAGTGGTTTTAAATTTGGTGTTTCTAACAAAGATTCATCTGACACTAAATCTACCAGCTCATCTGGAGCAGGACAGTTATCTTTTGGAATACCAGTTTCAAGTAGCAATTCCACCTCAGAATCATCCAAAAGCTCAACAGATGTAGCTGGGGGTATTAAATTTGGAACTGGAGAAATTTCTTCTGGTGGTGGTGCAAGTGTTGGGGGCTTTAAGTTTGGATCTGCATCTAGCACACCAACCGTCACTCCAACAACTGGCTTCAAAATTGGTTCATTAGCTGCTCCTAAAAGTGATGCTCTAACAGGCGGTTTTCAAATGCCATCTGCAAAATCTTCGCCTGCTGTTGATATAAGTCAGAATAAAACTGATAGTTCTAGTACATTTAAATCTCTATTTGGTGTGGACAAATCTGAAATAACATCGGGTCCAAAGACTGATTCTACCTCAGGAAAAGTGTCCAATGGAAGTGTGTCGATTCCTGTCTCCAGTTCTCCGGCTGTTGGTTTTCAGTTTGGAGCTCCTACAAAATCTCTCCCTCCCTTCAGTACTGGTACGTCAACATTTTTAGCTTAGTCTTGCAAGCATGTGCATTGGTGAGATGTGTATTAATTATCAAGAAAAACCTGAAAAAAGTATTAAAATGGCATCTGTGATATTGTTGATAAAAGATGTCCTTCCAGCAACAGAAAAATAGGAACAGCTGGGTGCTTTCTGCTAACACTGTTAAGTTGGGACTATAGACCCATTACTCACATCACTTAGCTGGTAGACCTATAACTGACATGTATTACCTCCATTATAGGTAAGGGGTTCACCTTTGAACACTTGAATACATAAAAAAGTATTATCGTCTTTAATTGGCCCAAATTTTGTGTTGATTGGCCATTAGGAATCCAATAACTAACTTACATGTCAAGTCTAAATACAATAGTGTTAAAAGCAGCATTTTTTGGTCAGTATGATTTTATCATTCTCCTTCATATGAACAATACATGACAGCATATATTGTAAATTATTTTCTGACTGAAAAGAAAACTTTGATTTTAAAATGCTTATAGAAAACAGAATTTTCTACCAGTCATCTAGATATTTATAAAATGACCAGTATTGTGCAAAAGAGAATTCCTCATAACTGTCATGCATTTACATGGTATATTTGTTTACAGGATCTGGTTTCACTGTGACTAAATCATCTGAAGAGACTCCCAAACCAATGCCCTTATTTAATGTACAATCACCAGCCAGCACTGCTGCTGCACCGTCCTTGAAAAGGAGTCACAATGAAGGTAAAGCATGGTAACTTGTAATTTTTGTATAAAATGGAACATGTCTAAACTGACTGAACAGAAACCCTGCACATACCAGACCTTCAGTTTGGTCCTGTCATTCTTTTGTTAGGTAGAGTAACAGCAGTTACAATAAGAGTGAATTGCACTCTAAAGGATAAACTTTGGTGTGGTATGAACTTTGACACCGTTTTTAGAACTTCTTGACTTTTTGTAACACACATTTTCTCTATACATCTTTTCCAGGAATAGATAAGAAAAAGTTCTTTTGATATATTTAGATCATGATACATTGGAATTTGTTTGACATTGTAGAGAATGGTCCAAGTGATGCCAAGAGGGCATCTTTTAATATGTTCACTGCTGGAACAACAGCAGAGCCTGCAAAGTCAGTTGGAAACAACATTTTATTTGGCTCAACAGCCACCGTACCAGCTGCTACAACCCAAGCCTCAATATTCCAGGCCCCCACAGCCCCTACCTGTAAGTAGGACTAGCCTTTTACATCTTTTATTAATGTTAAAAACATTATGATTATCAACAAAATGTTTATTTGCAGGTGATTCTAATGACATTAAACGCACAGAAATTTATTATACCTTTTAATTCCAGACATTTCGAAAAAGGTGATTATATTAAACGGAATTTCAAGTACCAGTTCATGACTTTCAATTTTGTATAATTGTAGCAACCCTGTCTACCACAGCATCCACAGCTCCAACTGGGGGATTCAGTTTTGGGATGGGAGGTAACTCTGCATCTACTGGAGGGATTGGAACATCCAGTTTTGGAGAAACTGCTAAAAACCCACCAGGGTTTAACTTTAGTGCTGAAACAAACAAGACATCTGTGTTCAGCTTTGGTGCTGGGTCTGGTACAGGTAAGATTGACAAATAACAAGGGAAATCTAGAAATTACACATGATAGAAAGTTTGAATTTTTTCTGGACACATGTGATTTTGAAAGCAAAAAACTTAAGATTTTAATTAATGGTGTAAATGTGTTCAGCATTTATTGTTGTCAGGTCATACAAATTGACTTGCATATATTTTTTCTGTGAAATACAAGGTTTTATAGTAAACTAAATATAATATTTTCTGGATACTGATAACCAGAAATAGTAAATTTTTATATCACATTACAGTTGTTCCATATGCAACTATTGTTGGAATTTTGACCTTTTTATATATATATATAATATAATATAATATAATATTTTCCAATCAATAGATGAATAATTTGTATTGTATTGTATTACTTGTGAAATCAATCAAGAAATGTATAATATCCTCTATTATATCAAACCCATTTCATTGTTAGCCACTGCAACAACTGCTCCAGTATTTGGCGCAAGTGCGAACAACACAGTTGCCAAAACCTCTGCCTCATCAGCACCATTTTCATTCACGGCTCAGTCCTCCATTCCTGCCACTCCTTTTGGGTCTGCCCAGGAGTCCACACATGCATTTGCTGCCAACACGTCTGGATTTGGCTCTACACCTAACATGTTTGCTGGTTCCAACAACACCCCGTCATTTGGAGCCAGTGGGGCTGTCCCTCCATCTGGGTTTGGTGCAGCTGCTACTGGGTTCAACACTACATCAGCAGGAAACACCCCAGCCTTTGGGGCGGCCACCACTACTGCTAATGCCAATACTGGATCTACAGGTAAGGTACTAGATAGAAGATACTGTCAGATCGGCAGGGTAGCCATTCAATGTCAAGTGTTGGATATATATAAAGTAAAACAGCTAGGAATATTAATATAATACATCTATGGCTTTTATCTATAAAAGAACAATGCCTATATAATGGCTGATACACTAAACTCAAGATATAAATAACTACTTACACACTTAAAATTCTTTAATATCCACAATAATCACTCATCATTTATCACATTCTGTTTTATTTATAAGTAAAAGTTAAGTTCTTTTTAACAGGAGGCTTCAATTTTGCAAGTCAACAACAAGGGTTCAATTTTAGTGCACAGCAAAGTACTGTAAACAATGGCGTGTTCCAGTTTGGTGCTAAACCAGTAAGTATTTTATTGGTGCAAAAATCTCTATACTTTTATCATACAGCTGATTTGTATGCATCGTTTAATATAATATTTATGTCAGATTCCTTATAATAAAGAGCCTAATCATTTTTCTTTATTAACCCTTTCACCACTGTATACCATAATGGACTCTCCCATATCACTACATGGTAGAGTCCACTAAAGTTACATAGGGGTGAAATGGTTAAGACAATTGACAATTATTCTTACCTACCTTGACCCATTTAATTAGTGGACTATTTAGCTACTGGCACTGTTGGCTCGAGATCTAGGGCCTTTGACACTTTTTGAACCGTGATATTCTGTTAGGTGCGGATTTGCAATTTGAACCGTGATGTTCTGGTAGGTGCGGATTAGCCTTTCTTTATCTGGGACAAGTTGTGACAGACTTTTTACCAGTGTCTTACAACAGTTTTATAGATGTTGTATATTTTGGCCATCACTTGGTAAAATGATCGATTCTTTGTATGTGAATTTGTGTAGAAGGTTTTTATGTAAAATAGAATAAAGAGCATTAGGAGAGATGTATTGGGGAATTCACCAGGTTTTTTTTTAAATAAGTAAAAAATGATTTAGCGGGTAATTCTTGTTGTTAAATGAAAATAATTTTAAAGAACATTTGAAACCATTGTGAAATTGATTGCTATGTATTTTTTACAGTTGAACCTATTTATATTTTGATGTTTTGGGAAATTAAAGTTATTTTGAATTACCGGTTTTCAATTCCATCTAAAGTTTTTTTGCAAACATAGAAATAAAGGATTGTAAAAGGTTTCAAATACAGCAACTTTGGTAGCTGACGTACAAGTTCCATCTATATATCTTTTAATGTGTTTTCCTTTGTCAGGGTGAAGGAACTCCAGCTGCTGCTCCTCCACAGGCCCCTGCAGGATTCAACTTCAATGCTTCTTCTACTCCTGGCTTTAATTTTGGTCAGAGTACCCAACCAGCTATGCCAGTGGGTACTGGCTCATTTAACATAGGGTAAGGACGTAGTCATCTCGCAAATCATGTCAGTAGTGCAATGAAATCCTTTGTATGTATGTATGTATGTGCTGTACAAAGTGGTTTCTTACAGTGTTTAAAGATTTCAGTGGTTTGTGTATCCGTTACTATTAACAGGCTTACTATTTGTAAAGTGAAAATGAAATGAAAAAATCCTATAATTTCAGATTTTTAAGACTTTAATATTGATATTAGAGGAGATTTATCAGTTATATTTAATTATTTTTTGTTCGTTTGTATTTTCAGATCAAACAATGATGCAAGTTCAGGAAGAAAAATCAAGAAAGCTGTACGTAAGATACGACGATGATACAGTGGTCTTAGTGAGAGAACGCTTACAGATTGTGTTTGTCCACTACACATTACTGCAGTTTGTGATTGTGTGGCACACAGGAAAGGTATCATGGATTGCTGTGAGCATTAGTGCACATAGATGGCATAAAGTGTTTGGAGTCATTACTGATGCTGGGGAAGATACAAGACATGAGGACATGTTCTGGGTAGTATAACGAACATCACATAACTAACAGTGGTAGTAGCACAAGTCAGATGTGTCATGCATCGTGTGGATGAGAGCACACGGAAACAATTCTTAAGTTGATCCACAAGACTTGCTGCTGGGACAGTACAACATGACAGAACTGGCTTTGAGCAGTATAATTGTAAGCTTTGAGGTGACGGTACTGAAGGACACGTTGTGATTTAGTGGTATACCAAATGTATGCCGCCAGATGTACCTGTTCTGGACTAAAATGATGATGGATACCGTTACCAAAAATCACAGACTTTGTCTATGAAGATTGTGCTGGAAATACAAGTGTACTCACCATTTGTACTTGGGCATTTATTCTTTGTTCTAATCTTTCCTGAATTGTGTATCCTAAGAATGAGGAGTTTCATACTAGAGAATTGGACCGTGACAAATTTGAGAAATTAATGAAAATATTTGTGAATTTAAAAGAATTTTAATTTCATTTTCACATGACATACCTGAATAATACTACCTAACTCAACCAAAGTCTATATAGATATTCTATCCTAAGATCAGGTTGAGAAGTCATCCTGTATAGCAATATAAGGAATCGTGAAATATTATTGCTCAAGCACTGCGTGTGAAACCTGGTTGATATTGGACCCTCTGTGCTGCCTGTCCAGTGTAATGTTATTCTCTACATTCCATTATAGTAATAGAAATAGTTCACCTGTACAAGATGATATTTCAAAAATATTTGGAGAAATTCAGTACAGGTATATAACATATGAGCTAAAAGGACAAATTTCACTATTTTCATATAGGGAATGTTTAATTAAAATTTGAATACATTTATTCAAGATAATGTAAAAGAATTAAAATGATTTTATGGAGTCTCTGCTATGCATTAAAAGCTAACTATGAACTCTCTGTAGTAACAGACAGTTTCACTGGACATACATTGGGTTTGGAAGTTTCAGAATTTATTTTTGAATTTCTAGATCAGCATAACAAATCTTTTCCCAGGCTAAGCATAATGGGAGATCACATTTGGTCAAAATGACAAAGTTATGTTATGTTTACTGTCAATCTAGCCCTTGGCAGAGGCAGAAACACTATTTATGCATATATATTGTGTAAATAAATAATGGCATATAAAATAATTACCGCTTTTATAATCCAGATCATATGTTGTTGCGAAACTTTGAAAAGTCATTCATTTATTTAATACATTTACAGGTATGTATTAGTAAAACAAGGAGAATGTACTCAATTGTAAATATTCTGTACATAACAGCTGTTTTTGACATTCTACATTTGTGTAGAGATGTATGTATTTACACCTGTTTGTAGAGTAGTGGACAAATTTTGCAGGTCTTTCTCGTTTTATTTGGTGCTAAAAAGGGTAATTCCTGGTATTCAAGTGACTGATGTACTAGTCGTATTGGCTCAAAAGTCGTAACCTTGCTAAACTTGCAGAATTTGTTCATGTCATTGATCTCGTGTGGTATCACATAGGAGAAAAGGTTGAGAAAATAAAGATATTGATAGATATTATGTAACTTAGAAAAAAAATCAAGTTTTTAAGATTTGCTCCAAAAGGCCTAATATGATTGGCCATCCTTGTGAAAACACTATGTGGTACTAGAGAACATTTATTGCATGTACTAGCTTTGTATTGTAAGTATTGCTTGAATATGTGTGTAGTCACAGTCATACAGACTCTTTAAAACATTTTATACTGGACCCCAAAGTCTTTCGACAAATATGTCAAATATCCTTTTGCAAATAGGTATATGTTATGTAATGGTAACAATGTAAAACAAATGTAAAAGTAATATCTCTAATTAGCATTTACAATTATACCCTGCTGGTTTCATTGTTTTGAATGTGTTGTCATGACAACAGTTGAGAGTGTGAGGTAGTGTGGCACCACTGATTTAGTTTATTTGTCCCAGATCATGTCTGTAGTCAATGTTGCTCCGACACCAGTGCTTAACTTTTGCATTTAATGCGTTATTTTAAAACCCAGTTGAATAACATATGGCAAAGTACAAAAATAGTTCTTACATTTGCATAGGTTATACCTGTTTCAATAAAAAAAAAATCCTCTGGACAGTAATTAGTGAGAAGAACATGGAGACCACTGAATCTGAGTGCTTTCCAACAACTGTTAAAAATCCTTCCTGTTTACTCAATATTACATTGTAGAAATTATGACTGACTAGTCGTCGTTTGCCTGGTTTGGGCTAACATGAGCCTGTTCTCTTGAATTAGTATACAGATCTATGTTTGGAAAGATTACCAGTTAAAATCTTACTGAAAGATGCTTTTTGGTCTTTGATGAATAAGTATTGATGTTGTTATTCATTATTCATACAGTAAGTTTTGTGCATGGCGGCGTGCTAGGCCGTATGTAATGGAGCGTCTACAGATCACTCTCGCCAAACACACTAGACTCTGCGTATAGCTTCAGGATTTTGTGTTGCTAAATAATTTATGTAGGTTTGGTAGTGATGCAGTAACTTGTTTTGTACAGGTGTTTACATACACATATTGAGCATGAAAACTGAATCTCATTACATGATAAATTATTACATTTGATCAGCATTTATGACGGTATTTGTTAGCATATCTAGCATTTATCACGGTAACTGTTAGCATATCTAGCATTTATCACGGTAACTGTTAGCATATCTAATATGCTGGCAGGGCAGAAACAAATATAGCAGATGATTTAAAACTTGTATAGCTCAGGATCATTTATAGCAAGCATTGTTTTCAAATTCTTTATTGATTATGTCCAGAAATAGGAGTTTTGTGGAGTACTGGATTATCTGAAGGTGATCATTTTTAGTCCAAGGACATGTTTTGTTTCAATTATATATACATATACATGCAAATGAAAAACTTAACCTTGATGTGTCATTAAGCTAACAAGGCACACATTTTAATAATTAGATTATAGATAGATAGAACGTTTTGATAGGTCTGAATTTTTATTTCTATTTTTACTGGGTAGACAAGTGTCAACATTTATGTGCCAGGTAGCAAATAACCTTTCACAGGTGAATAAGTATTGTCAGGTCTGCATGTACATGCACTGCTATCTTTGGGGCTATTTTGTCCATAGCCTGATTAGCTAACAAGTCATTAACACAAAATTTCAAAATATATCTTGTGAGAAATAACTGAAAAATTTCAAATGTTTATAGTTATTTTCCCTTTAGATGGCTGTTTTGAGAACACTACAGCTGTAATTTAGTTGTGAATGTCAGTATTTTTGAAAAGGTCTTGGGTTAAAAAAAAAAGTTAAGTTTTTGTTAACCTAACCAGGCTTTGAACAACTTAGCCCTGATCTAAACATGGACTAGTCAGTCATACTAGCGTGAAATAAAAGTTTTATTGATAATTACTGGGATCATCTTGATACTTGCTGTGTAGAATTTTAAAAAATGCTCTATTATCAGATCCTACATTTAATTAAGAAAATTAACAGGTCTCGGTTAATGTACTGTTGATACAAAAATGAAATATTAGTGTGCTCTGCCACTTGTGATTGTGTATATATGTCCTGTGTGTTCCCACTAATCCACAATGACCTCAGCAGGTGTGCAGTGGTGTACACAAAGAGTCTTAAAACTGTGATGCACAAGTTGTTTTATTATTACATGTATTTTGATAAGGTGATGTATCTTGTGTTGCATACAAATGCAGGATTTCACAGATGACAGAGTCGGCAAAAGAAGATTTTTATGACCACTTTTCTTTCCACCAAATTTACTTATTAGGTTTGATGTATACATTTGTAGTTGTAAGTTTGGAGATATTGTTCACATAACTTTTGAACTTCAGTATTGTTCATGGGTTCATAGGTGGTAAAGAAAAATGGTTTTATTGTTTTGCTGAGAGTAGCAGTTTGGTGAATTTATTGAGACATCATTTTGTATATAAACTCGTTTTTTTCTCCAGCTCTAAAATCATGCTTCAATCTTATCATTTCATCTTTCTCTCTCTTTCTCCCTTTTTGGAGATGTTGAAATGTGAATTCATCATCCTGCTACTCAAACACAAAAGATTGGGCAATGCCCTGTTGTTATCAAAATTTTGTTTTTGGAGATTTATTTTTAGGTAAAAATTCTGGGTATGATTGAATGTTTGTAAGTGAAGGAGTGCTGTATTTATTGGTGAACTATCTGTGAAGTTCTGTAGCTGTGAGTCGACTGTTTGTGGCCTGGTATGGATGTTGTGAGAATGGTTGGTCGCAAGTCTGGTGGTAAACTTATGATTGTCAATAAAATATCTTTGACATATTTCTTGATTTGGCCTTATTTTTATCTCACCTGCAACAGGCATATAAAATCTTTGTTGATCTTAAACGTGTGTCCTGGTTAGCATTGATCTGAATATGTGGAGTTCAATACAGGTAACTGACTTTATAATAACCCAAGTCAAAATATGTTTCTTTATTCTAAACATTAACAAACCTTGTAAACACTGTAAAAACTTAAAGGCATTCTCTGACTCGAGCATTTTAGATAGGTGATCTATGACTTGTATTACAAACCAGTTACTCTTGCATGCTATTTAAATCAGCATAGAAGTTGGTAAGCTTTAAGCAGCAGAAAGAAGATACACATTTTAACTGAGCAATTCCCGGATAGAAGTGGATTCGTCAAACTGTGGACATAATTGATAGATGTTAAAGGCTGTACTACATCAGAAAGTGAAAATTAAAAAAGATACATGTTTATATATGGAAAATGTCTTCCAGCTGAACTTTACAAGCATCAATAATCCAACAAATGTAGTATAGACTAAAGATGAGGCTCAAGTGTTCAATTACAGGGGAAATACCAACATGAACAAGCTTGTCTCGTCTATAGTACACGTGCTTGAATGTGGTCATTGACAGTCTGGATAGTGCTGATTTACTCTTTACCGTTACTCCAAATTGTGATACTGACACTGACCTATCTATATCAAATGACTTAACACTTTAACATTGTTCATTCTTACCTGTATCCAGCCTTCATCATTGTATTTTCTGTCTTTGACTGCTTGTTCTTGATGATCCCCCTTGTGCTATTCTTGGCGTCTGTTACAGTTTGTCATCAACAAATTCTCTCCTGACACTGTCCATGTCTCTTGATCTTCAATATCTATTTTTCGTTCATCTTACAGAACTTTGTTTTCTTTAACTGCTGACCTTGACTCGGTGTAACAACTACTGATGTTGACCTTGACTCAATGTCACTACAGATGTAGACATTAACTCAATGGCCATACTGTTGTTGACATTAACTCAGTGTAATTACTGGTGTTGACCCTGACCCAGTGTAACTACTGATGTTGACCTTGACTCAATGTAATGACTGATGTTGACCTTAACTCAGTGTAACTACTGATGTTGATCATAACTCAGTTTTACTGCTGATGTTGACCTTGACTCAATTTCACTACTGATGTTGATCTTGACTTAATGTTGCAACTTGTGTTGACCTTGACACAACATCACTACAGATGTACACATTAATTCAATAATGATCAAGACTCGTGTCCCTACCTGTGTTGATCAGGACTCGAGGTCAATACCTTTGTTGATCAAGACAGTGTTTTATTTGTGTTGTTCAAGACTTAGTCACTACTTGTGTTAATCAAGACTTAGACACTACTTGTGTTGTTCAAGACTTAGTCACTACTTGTGTTGTTCAAGACTTGGTCACTACTTGTGTTGTTCAAGACTTTGTCACTACTTGTGTTGTTCAAGACTTAGTCAATACTAGTGTTGATCAAGACTCGGTCACTACTTGTGTTGATAAAGACTTGGTGTCACTACTAGTGTTGATCAAGGCTCAGTGTTCCTACCTGTGTTGATCAGGACTCGAGGTCAATACTTTTGTTGATCAAGACAGTGTTTTATTAGGCCCCCATATCGGAGATACAGGTGCCCTATAGTAATCACTCTGTCTGTCTGTCCGTCCACAAATTCTGTTCCTGGCTGATAACTTTGATATTTATTTACTGATGTACATGAAACTTGGTCAAGATGTTCAGTTCACAAAAATACACATTGAGGTAAAAAATCGAGGTCAAAGGTCAAGGTAATTAGGTTCAAAGGTCAAGGGCAAATTTTACATCTTTTCACTGATGAACATTTTGTTATGACATTATGAAGCAAAGTTGATCAGAATTTAACAAGGGGTCAACTGACCAAAGGTCAAGGTCATCTGGTCAGGGGTCAAGGTCAAATTTTGTAGCTTTTCACTGGTGAACATTTTGCTATGACATTATGAAGCAAACTTGTTCGGAATTAAACAAAGAGTCAACTGACCAAAGGTCAAGGTTAAATTTTGCACCTTTTCCCTGATGAACATTTTGTTATGACATTATGAAGCAATGTTGTTCAGAACTTAACACAAGAGTCAACTGACCTTAGGTCCAGGTTACGGGGTCCAAAGGGTCAAGGTCAAAATTTGTATTTTTCACTGATGAACATTTTATTATGATATCAAGAAGCAAAGTTGGTCGGAATTAAACAATAAGTCAACTGACCAAAGTTCAGGGTCACTGGATTAATGGTCAAGGTCATTTGGGTCCAAATGTCAAAGACAAAGTGGATCTCTGACTTTGACCCTGGCTCTTGATGGAGGATGTATATAAGGTGAAATAAAACAAATCAAAGCTAACAAATGAGTAATGCACCGGTATTTTCATTTCTGTTAGCCCAGCAAATATGGAGGTGGAAGGAAACAAGACTCACATCATAGTACATGTAAAATGTATATTTTGCTTCCTTGCGATTCCTTTTGAAGTCAAAATGTCAAATGTCAAGCTCAGCTATATGGGCCGATTGCTTCTTGATGATTATGGGGGATATATTGCCACAAGACGGGGCCCTTACTGACATGTCAGTGTTCTAGTTTGTGTTGTTCAAGACTTAGTCACTACTTGTGTTGTTCTAGACTTAGTCACTACTTGTGTTGTTCAAGACTTGGTCACTACTAGTGTTGTTCAAGACTTAGTCACTACATGTGTTGTTCAAGACTTAGTCAATACTTGTGTTGTTCAAGACTTGGTCACTACTTGTGTTGTTCAAGACTTAGTCACTACTAGTGTTGATCAAGATTCGGTCACTACTTGTGTTGATAAAGACTTGGTGTCACTACTAGTGTTGATCGAGAGTTAGTATCACTTCTAACACAGTTGATATAGTTACTTAAAACAAGAGGCCCAATGGGCCTGTATCACTCACCTGGTATTAATCTAACAGTTGTAACCTTAAAAGTGATCTAAAGTTAAGCTAAAGCAAAAATTCAGTACTTATGACTATAAATTATTCAAAAGAACTATTAAAATATGTTAAATATTTGACTCCTGTGACCTTGAAAGGCGACAATATCATTACAATGAACAAACTTTATACCCCCTTATCTAAGGATGCAACTTGCCAAATATCAACATCATGGGCCTTCTGGTTATTCAGAAGAAGTCGTTTAAAGATTTTGACATATTTGACCCCTGTGACCTTGAAAATGGGCAAAGGTCATTCAATTGAACAAACGTGGTAGCCCTTCATCCCAACATGTCCTTGGCCAAATATCATCACCAGGGGCCTTCTGGTTATTCAGAAGGATTGTTGAAAGATTTTTAGCTCACCTGGCACGAAGTGCCAAGTGAGCTTATGCCGTGGCGCAGCGTCCATCATCCGTCCGTCCGTCGTCTGTCCGGCGTCCGGCGTCAATATTTTACTTTAAACGACTTCTTCTTCATAACCGAAAGGCCTAGGGTGTCAATATTTGGCTGGAAGCAAACTTGGATAAAGGGCTACAAAGTTTGTTAAAATTAATGACCTTCACCTATTTTCAAGGTCACAGGGGTCAAATATGTCAAAAACTTTAAACAGCTTCTTCTCAATAACCAAAATGCCCAGGGAGATGATATTTGGCCAGTAGCATGCTGAGATGATGTGCTACAAAGTTTGTTCAAATAAATGACCTTCACCCATATTCCAGGTCACAGGGGTCAAATATGTTTAAAACTTTAAACAACTTCTTCTCAATAACCAAAATGCCCTGGGTGATGATATTTGGCCAGTAGCAAGCTGAGATGAAGGGCTACAAAGTTTGTTCAAATAAATGACCTTCACCCATATTCAAGGTCACAGGGGTCAAATATGTTTAAAA